ACGGGAAACAGTGTGGAGAGTCTTCAAAAATCAAAAATAGAACAACCGCATGATCCACCAATTCCACCACTGGATGTGTATGTGAAGGAGATGAAATATTCATACCGAAAGGGTCTTTGCACCCCTGTGTTTATTACAGCTCCATTTACAACAGCTAAAATACAGTATCCACCTGGATGTCCGTGGGTGCATGAAAGGATAAAGAAAATGTGGCATACGTGTACAAGGGGACATTATTCAGCCACGAAAAATGGAAATCCCAACATAGATGGAACTGAGGTCATTATGTTAAGCTAGACAGGACCAATGCAGGAAGACAAACATGACATGTTCTCCCGCCTACGTGACCAATAAAAAGTTGATCTCATAGAAGAACACGGTGGAATAGCGCCCCCTAGACCTCAGGAAGGGAAGGGAACAGGAAGAAGTTGGACGGGAGGGTTAGTCCTGGTTTTCTGCAGCTCAGTAGGGTAATGACTGGTTAAACGATCTACGATACATTCAAAACGTCCAGGAAGGAAGAGTCCAGGTTTCCAACACACAAAAATCATTTAATGGTCGAAGAGAGATGGAAGTGCTTATGCCTCTAACTTGATGATCACACATGGGATGCATGCTTTAGGGTACCATAATGCACCCCATAAAGATGTACGGACAGTAGGTCTCAATTTAAAAACATCCACTGACAGTTTTCTGATAAGAGAAAAGCAGAAGGAAATTTCTGACCTGGGAGAGCACAGCGGGGGACACCAGGAGCCCCCAGACGCGGGGAAGGCACAGGAAGGACCAGCCCTAGAGCCTCTGGAGGGAGCGTGGCCCTGCAGACACCTTGGTGGGGGACCGCCGTGTCAACTCTGTCGTCAAGGTCGGATCCCTTTGGAACAGAGAGAGGTTCTAGCTCCTTTCTGTCCTGAGATGGGGCTTTCTTGGTTCTATGCTGTTTACTAAGCATTGACACCAACGTAAGCACGTCTTCCCAAATCTTCAAACACCTCGCCACCAACAACGGCCCCCGCTCAGCCTCCTGAGTCAGTTTCCTTGAACGGCCAAGTGCTGGCTGCAAACCTGGAGCAGGTGATTTTTATTGCTGGGGGTAGAACAGACTCGAGGTTTTCCGCTTCAGCACGCGTAAGTGCAGTGGGCTGGGCCAGGCGCAGGGGCTGTACTGAGCTGCTCTGCAGCCCCCACCATCCACAGGCCCCCCAAATGCCCCCGCAGCCCATCAGGGCTCACTGAAGCAACGCTGCCGCGGCCCCTCTGCCCAGCCTGCTGACCTCACTGTGACGACTCTGGGCCCTCCTACAGGGACGGTCACACACTCTGTCCTCCCTGAGCAGAACTCAGATCACCCAGGCAGCAGCAGGACCCCAGGCCCTGCAGCTAACAGGAGCACCCCACAGACCAAAAGCCAGCGTCCTCCCCTCCCGTCCCCGACGCGGCCCCTGCCGGTGGCCTCCTTCCGAGAGTGAGCTGGGCCTGGGCCAGGTCCTTCTCCTGCCCAGGAGCCCCGCTGGCCCCGGCCCACGTTCCCGCCTCACTGGCTAATTGGACTTGACTGGGCCCGGGGAGTTCCGGAAGCTTCCCTGGCCGTGGCAGAGACCTCCCTCCCCCTCCCATGTGGCCCAGAGGATTATCTCGGCGACCCACTGACCCTGAGCAATTAGGAGCCTTTGAGGGACTGTGCGCTCCCCTCGGTGCACCCCCATCGGCCAGGTCCTGGCTGCAGACCAACTGGGGCTCTGCTGAGGGCCGTCCTGGGTCCGGCTGGCTGCCCGCGGGAGGGCCCAGGCCAGTGCCTCCTTGTCCCCTGTGAAAGTCCCGTTTGACTGTATCATTGTCTTCAACTTCTGAGCAAGGTCCCTAACAAGAAGAGCCTCCTGCTGCGACGTGCGGGTCTGCGCATGCTCAGGAGCGGTGGCGCGAATTCGAGTCCCCCCTCCTGGGCTTTGCTGCGGAGCGCTTGGCAGCAAGCGGCCCAAGCTCTGTGCCTCGCTGCGAAAAGGAGCTGACGACACCTTTCAGTTTCCGAAGCGACCTGAAGGGCGGGCGGAACAGCGCTGGCTCTTACCGGTGACCTGTACTCAGCCCCTAAAGCAGCTCCTTTAATCCCGCCACCGCGGTGTCTTAGGCTCCCCTTTTACGGGGGAAGATGATGGAGACTCAGGGAGGGAAAGTCATTTGCCTGGGGTTGCACAGCACCAAGGACAAAGACATCCAGCACTTATGTCGGGTGCCGGACACGATTCTGAGGCTGTTTGAATAATGTGTTCTTGGGGCTCATGTTGCCTGTGCTGGGTACAAACTGAAATGAAGCAGGCCGTGGGCGGATCCATCGCGTTTGCTCCAGCCCTTGCGCTGGGAGGTCCACAGGTGCTGGCCCTGGGGTCTGCGCAGGTGGAGTGACGCCCTGTACCAGGTCCCTGGAGGGTTGGCCCATTTGCTTGACTCCAGATCCCGGGCTGGGGGGGGGGGGGGGGGGGGGAAGCCGGGCTCTCTGCCTTACCTTTGGGAGTCGCTGGGTGACCTGTGGAAACCCTGGGTCCTGGTCTGGAAATGGAGGTGCACAGGTGGGAACCTGGGGGCTTGGGAGGTCCTGGGGGCAGGCCAGCTGCCTCTCCCCGTGGTGGCTGGGAGGGCCACAGGGCCTCACTGTGGGTCCTGGCATCCCACTGCAGAAGTGGCTACAGTGACAGGTGGGGCCAGCCCAGAGATGGCAGCAGGGGTTCCAGGGCCCAGGTCTCGACCCTGCCCCTCGGCTCTCCCCTACTGTCTTGCTGTCCCCCGTCCCTGGCCGGCTCGTCCTGCTTCGCAGACGTGAAGTGAAGCATCCCCCGGAGCCCCACACCCCACAGCGATGAGTGGGCAGCAGCCACCCCTCCGCCCTCCCTGTACCAGGTCACACCAGGCTGCGGTCACCCTGTCTGTAAACTGAGGTGGACACCAATGAACCACTTCTAGGTCTACGCTGCAGAGGCAGCGAGCACATTCCGTGTTGTGCCCACTAACTTCCCCCTCAGGAGACCCTGCCCCACTCCCTGTCACTCCACGTCCCCTCCTGCAGCTCCTGACAGCCCCAGGCTGCCCCTTCTGGACATTTCCTAGGACCCCAGCGCGGTGTTTCCCGGCTCGTCCTGTTCCAGCAGGTGTCAGTGCTTCGTGTCTTCCTTGTGGGGGTCAGTAATATTCAGGACTTTGTGGGGTGCCGAGCACCATCCCCAGCCTCTGCCCCCACCCCCACCCCCCGTGCCAACAGCACCTGCTCTGGTTAGAGCACCTCCAGGTTTGGGCTGGGAACGTGCCCCATGCAGCGGGTGTTGAGAGGCAGAGACTCTGGGGGGTGGAGGGGTTGTGAGGGTTCTGACCTCATGAGTGGATGGATCTGTTATGGGTTAATGTTATCAAGGGCGTAGCTTTTTCTTTTAAATAAAAAAAAGTGGCATGCTTGCTGCCTGTCGGGATAGCACAGGAGTGCCCTCACCAGATGTCAGCACCCCGCTCTGGGCTTCCCTCCAGAACCGTGATCTAAATAAACCTCTTTCCTTTATAAACTTCACTGCCTCAGGTATCCTGTTATAGCAACCAAAAACAGACCACGATGATGTCCTCCTTAGGTATCATAAAAATCTATTTGGTCTTTGGTCACAGTTCCTGGCATAACGACCCTAACACTCTTGGTATGGACATTCATAGGGCTGAAACAAAAATCTTAACATAGCACGACAGAAGGCTGGATGTGCCAAAGGGACTGCCTGAGGGGTCCCTAATTATTAAAGGACCCAGATAAATGTTATATTCGTGTTTATAGAGATTTTAAAAATCATAAAGCTGAAACTGTAGTGTGAAACTTTCCTGGGGTCACAGGGAGCAAGTCAGGTAGATTTGTCAAAATAAAGAATGACAGAAGGGCCAAGGTCCCATGGCTCACCCTGCCATGGCAGACTCAGGATCTGGGGGGTCAGGGGATGGAGCCGGGTCCAGGCCTCTTGCTGCAGCAGGGCTTTAGCTAGACCAGGAGACAGAGAGGGAGGCAGGGGCCAGGGTGGAGCTCAGGGGCAGGGCACTCAGGAGACCCTGGTTACACCTCCAGCTCCAGGGGGAGAAAGTTGATTGGAAATGCAGAGTTGATTGCTGGGTGCCACGGGTGAATGGCTCCTACCCACATTCCCATGCTGAAATCTTGGTTCTAAAATGTCAGTAACAGGTGGGGCCGGGGCCGGGGCCGGGGCCGGGCAGTAGGGCACTTGTTTGGCATGTGTGAGGCACTGAGTTCAATTCTCAGCACCACATAAGAATAAATAAAATAAAGATCTATCAACAATTAAAAAAAGAGGTGGGGCCTCTGGGAGGTGAGCAGCTCTTAAGGGGGGAGCCCCAGTGAACGGGGTCAGTGCTCTTGTAAGAGGCCCAAGGGAACTCATTTGACCTTTCCACCTCGTGGGAACATGGCAAGAAGGAAGCCATCTTTGAAGGAGGCAGGTCCTCACCAGACACTGACTTGATCTTGGATATCCAGCCTCCACTGTTTTGTTTAGAAGCCACCTGGTCTACAGTATTTTGTTATAGCTGCCCACACACCTTAAGACTGGAGAATTGGGGGACAACTTTAGGTGAAAATTGGAATGTCAAGGCTGCTTCACGTGAAGAGGCCGGGCCTCCTGTAGCTGAACGTTTGGGCGTGGTCGTTATGTTGAGGGGGGACGCTTCTCTAGTCCACTATTATAAAACTGGGACCTAGGGCTGAGGGTGGACCTGGCATGCACAGGGCCCTGGTTCCACCACCAGCATCAAGAGAAAAACAACCTCAACCTAGTGATGAAGTCCTCATGGAGGCCACACGACAGCACGTCACGCATGTGAACATCCTAAACCTGAAATCCACACAGCTCTGGTCCCAACCCTCCACAGAGGAGATATCCAACCTGTCACCTGTGGAGGTCCCCAGGCTCAGTGGGACCTGAACACAGACCTCCCAGTTGTCCACTTCCACAGAAAACAAGAACCCCGGATGCAAACGTTTTATTTCCTAAACATTAAACGAGGTCATCACAAACACCAAGACAGCCGAGCCGCTGACACGGCCTGTAAAGTGCTCAAGTGTCTGACGCCACGAGTCACTGCGAACCCCACCCCAAAAGAGGCACAAGATGGGTCTTCTTCCCAACTCCCAGAAGGAAGGGCTTGGCTTGGGTTAGGGGACAGGCCTGCGTGGGATTCACTGGGCATGTGGCTTGTTGTCCCCGGAGAGGACCGTGCTTCTCGGCTCTCCCCGAGGGTTCCCGAAGGTGCCATCTGCATTGAAGTACCACTGGCTGGGGGTCCCCAGGCCTTGGGCCTCTTCCCAGACCTCCTGGTTTATCAATGCTGCCTCTTTACTCGCCTCAGCAGAAAGTTCCAGCACCTGGGAGAAGATCCTGTGAATACAAGAGAATGAACGGAGACGTTTCCCCTCTATGGCCACGACCCAAAGAAACCAGAACCTAGGAGAGGAACGAGGGGCGGCAACGTGGGACCCCAGTGCAGCCCAGGCAGGCCTGAGGAGAGCCAGGGCTCAGCGAAGCCCGGCAGCCCTCAGCGCCACGGGGAGCCGAGCCAGGAACTCGGGTTGCCAGAAGCCCCGCTTTACCCTGTGACATGGGACAGCACTTGCTAAGAACCTGCACACGCCCTGCACAGTCGTGGGACTGTCTCTGATGATGCAGGAGAGCTGGTACAACGTACGTGCCTGAACAGTTGTTCTACTGTGTGATTTAGGAAACCGTGACTCAAGTCTGGGCATGTTCTGTGCGGATGCAGTTGTTTAAAAAATATTTTTGACCTGCAGTTGGTTAAACCTGCAGACGTGAGACTCGAGGACAGAGGGCCACTGGCACCTGGGAAGCTTCAACACTGTGTCAGGCGCAGTCCTAGGAGCCCGTGGTACAGCCCTGAACAGAACAGAGTCCCGGCCCTCAGGACACCGGTGATACTAGACCTGCACATTTAACCTTGCAACCTGTGACCCTCACCCTCCGTAAACCTTTGGTGTATCCTCTGATTCTGTCCTAGGGCCACACATGGGAGAGAGAAGTGCCATAGAGGTGACAGCTGTTTCTTATGAGTCCCTTCAAACATTCTAGGCATCTCAGGAACTGTACGTACGATTGTAAAGGAAGAGGAAACAAGATTCTTTGTCTTGTTCTGTGGTGCTGAGGAGGGAACCCAGGACTCGCCTGTGCTAGGCAAGCATCTGCCCTGAGCCCCAGCCCCAGCCCCAGTCCCTTCTGTTTTATTTTGAGACAGGGTCTTGCTCAGTTGCCAGGTTGGCCTTGAACCTGCAACGTTCCCGCCTCAACCTCCCCAGTACTGAGATGACGGGTACGGGCCACTGCGCCAGGGGAACAGGTTCTTTTCTGGAAGAACCCATGGCTGGAAAGGTGACCAAAGGTCCTTAGTGAGGCTGCTGTACCCTGTGGGATGCGGGCTGGCGCCCCAAGGCCACGTGCTCTGCACAGGCGGCCGGCTGCTCCGCTGGGCCTGGGCCTTTTCTGTGGTGTTTATAGCTCAGCAGGAAGTTGGGAAAGCACCCTCCAGAGCCGGGAGCAGCCCAGGGCAGCGCTTGGCCCAGGTGCTCAAGGCCCTGCTCCTGCCGCAGCACAGCAGAGAACAAAGACCAGAACTCAAATAAAGTGAGCGGGGCTGGTCCAAGGTCACCTGAATGCTGGACAAGGATGTGACACCCTTCCCATCTGGCTGCTTGGGACTTACAGGGACTCTTGAGAGGTGGGTCTCAATTCTTCTGTGGTCCCCCTCCCTGCCTTGCTGGTCCCTGGTGCTGTCACTCTAGTCCCCATCTGTGACCCCTTTGTACCTGGCATCCTGTTCTCAGAACTGACTTGAGCTAGAAAATGAACTCTAGGCTCCAGACAGACGGGTGCCACAGGGGACGACAGTGACACCTGCTGGCCGCTCCCCTCCTGCAGAGGCCTGGGAGGCTGCCCCGCCCCAGCCCTGCTCCCCCCCCCCCCCCCCCCCCGCCCCGGGGCCCAGCGGTACCTCTGCAGCTCCAGGTCTTTGCTCGAGGTGGCGTCCCTGAGCTCGCGCAGCAGGGCCAGCACCTGCTCGTTCTCCTCGGCACTGCCCACGCCCAGCTCCCCCAGGAGACGGTGGGTGGTCTCCAGGTCACGCTGCAGAGCATCTGGAGGGGACAGGGGCTGTCAGCGGGGGATCAAGGGACGGGTGCTTTGAGTGTGGGTGGCTTTCCTCAGTGCACTGTGAGGCTGGGGCCATCACCGCGACACGCTGAGGGGCCGCGGGAGGGAGGAAGACAGCTGTGCCCCGGCCTGGACGACCCACAAGGCAGGTGTCGGAAACTGGGTCCCCCAGGCAGGGGCGCTGTGAGGTGAGGAGGCCTGGGGACCTCGTAACAGCACCCACTGCAGAGGGGCTTCAGGGTATGGCCAGTCTGATCCCGGGTCCCCCACCCACCCTCTGCTCTTCCACCATGAGACCAGAAAGCCCTCGCGGGATGCGCCCCTTGGTACTGGATGTCCCCGCCTCCAGATCCACAAACCAGTGTACATACTGGTTCATCATAAGTGGCCCCAGCACCGTTACAGCAGAAGCACGTGGACTAAGCCAGCCTGGGATCACGTGGCCCAAGGTCGTGGGACAGGCATGTCCACCATGTGGGCGGTCACTGCAACACCACTGTGGTGTTGCAGCCTGTGACAAAGCTGTCCGTGAGACGGCTGTGTCTGGCATCCTCTGGCCAGGCCCAGGCCACTTACTATTAGCCCTCCGTCCCTCTTCCCTGTCCTCAGCACCTCTGTAAGCATGAGCAAGGGACACCTGTGGCCGTGGAGCACATGCCACCTGTGCTGAGACGGCACGTCACAGGCAGGCCAGGTTCACTGCAGGGACACGTTCTGGGAAGCTTCCAAGAGCCTTATAATTGCACGTCCTCTTCTGCTTCCTGTTGTGGACCGAACCATGTCCTCCAAACAGGATGCTCAAGTCCTAAGCTCAGGGACCATGAAGTGACCTTAACTGGACATGGGATCCTTGTGGATGTCACTGAGTAGAGATGAGGTCAGCAGGCCAATGACCAGGGACCTCCAGGAGGGGGAGGTTCAGTTAGAGACACTCAGGAGAAGGCCACGTGAAGCTGGAGGCAGAGACTGCAGTGTCATGGCCACAGGAAAGGGATGCCGCGGGTTGCCACCAACATCAGAAGCCAGGAGAGAGGCCTGGAACAGACGCTCCCCAAGTCTCTGGAGGGAACCAGTCCTGCCAACACCTGGATTTCAGGCTCTGGCCTCCAGGACTGAGGGAACACACTTCCCTTGTGTTAAGCCACGCAGTCTGCAGTCATTTGTTCCAGCAGCTACAGAAAACTCGTAGTCCCTGGTCCAATGCCTGGCGACCACTTAAGGCACATGTCAGAGATGGAGCCAAGAATGACCAACCATAAAACAGAACCCTGGGCACTGATTCTCACCCAGGAAGGGAGGACTAAGTCACACGCAGCTGTAGAATGGGCATGTGACCCATGTGTTCTTCCAACAAAGAGAAACGCTCATGAGAATTGGGACGGTGGCACTCGCCTATAATTCCAGGGGCGCAGGAGGCTGAGGCAGGAGGATCACAAGCTTAAGGCCAGCCTCAGCAACTTAGTGAGACCCTGTCTCAAAATAAAAAAGTAAAAAGGGCCGGGGATGCGGCTCAGTGGTAAGGCACCTCTGGGCTCAATCCCCAGGAAGCCCCTCCACAAACAAAGGAAGGAGAAAAAAGAAACGCTCACAAGACGGAGAGAGAATGCAGCCTGTGTACGTACAGACACGCAGCAAGTGAGCGGGCCACAAGTCTCAGGATGCATGACATAACCAGATGTCCCAGGGGCACCTGTATTCCAGCTACTCCGGAGGCTGAGGGGGGGACACTTGAGCTCCAGGTCGAGGCCAGCCTGGGCAACGCAGCCCAGTGAGAACCATGAAGGCTGGGGTGGAGCTCGGCGGTACTCGCTTGCCCACCATGCGCCCTGGGTCCCATCCCTGGCACCAAACAAGAGTCACACCGCAGAAAAGGCTGGGGAGAGCAGGCTACCAGGCAGGTGCTCTCAGATCCAGGGAAGCCCTCCTCTTTGACTTTAGGGAGGTGGAGGGGTGCGTCCTGGGCCCCCGCAACATGCCTGGACAGACGCCTGACCCACCGCGGGTCTCACCCTGCCCCGTAGCTTCCAGGCTCGCCAAGGCCTTCAACAGGACCTCCTGGCCCTGCAGGGAGGGGAAACTAGGAGCTGGTGACTTTGTCCATCTCCCCTCCTACTGCCAAGGCACATTTTTAGGGACCCAGGCTCAGGGCTCCAACCCCAGCCCAGTGGCCTGTCCAGGCCGAGACCCTGGAGGAAGCACAGCCTCGCTGGCCCCCAGGGCCTTGTCATTCCATAGCGAGAGGGTGCCTGTCACACTGGCACCAGAGGGCAAAGGTTGCGGGCACACGGGAAGCACTGCCATGCTGGGGCGGGTCTCCCCGCTGCTCCCCCCACGTGGTGCCATTTCCTACCCAAGAGCTGGTGCCCGTCTCCCTCCAGGTGGATGGACTTCAGGGGCAGCTCGTGCCTCGTGGTGTCCAGGGCTGTGGCGAACATCCTGTACTGCTCCTTAAAGCGCTCACACACCGCCTCGAAGGGGCTGAGCAGCTCCATCTGCAGGAGGAGGGAGGGGGCTGTGAGGAGGCCCTGGGACACCAGTGGGGAGTAGTTTCCCTTTTTTTTTTTTCTGGGATGGAGCCCAGGGCCTTGGGCCAGCTAAGCGTGTGCTCCACCACCGAGCCACCCCTCCCGTCCTCGGGCGCCAGAGTGCAAGCCTGAGACGTAGCCCCGTCCTTCCACCAACCCCTAGGGGTCCTGGTGCCCAGGAAGCCTCTGAGGGTGCAGCAGGCTCCTCTCACTCTCTGCGGCCAGGGGCACCAGCAGATCTGAGGAGGCCGGGGCTCTTCACACAAAACCACGTCCACCTTTCTCTGTGTCCCAGACCAAAGGCTTGACTGGGATCACAGACCACTCAGCCCAAAACACCCGGACTGCCCAGCCCTGGCCCTCGGCCTGCTTCCCCGCGCACACAGGCCAGGTCCTCGCTGGGCTGCGAGACGGTGTGTCTGTGCACTGAATCATCTTTTCCTTGCACTAAGGCTTCATAAGGACAGGGACCTGGGCATGCTCAGCCCCAGGACCTGGCTGCAGGGTGCTCACAGGCGCACGCTGGTGTTACGAGCTGAAATATGTCCCCCAAATTTGTATCTGAAGTCCTAACTCCCAGGACCTCGAGACGTGACCTCGTTGGGAGAGAGGGTCTTTAAAAAAGTGATGCTCCCCAAGAAGGTCAGCAGGTGGGCCCCAATCCAACATGACTGGGTCCCCCAAAAGGGGAAATTTGGACACAGGGAGGACACATGAAAAGACAGCTCAGCCAGAGACAGGCCAGCACAGACCCTCCCTCACGGCCCTGGGCAGAGCTGCCCTGCCAGCGCCCGGCTCCCAGCCTGCAGGTCTCCAGACCAGGAAAGAACAGTGCTCAGTGCCGGGCCTCGGAGGTGGCAGTCCTCTGTCAGGCCACCACAGGAGACTCACGCTGGGTGAGGCCTCCTGTCCTGGGTCTGGCTCCGGGTTCCCAGGGTTGGCTGTGTCCTTCCCTGGCACGGACACCTTTGTCCCAGTGCTGACCACACAGCATGGAGAGAGAGTGGCTCCTGCCAGCACCCTGACCCTGCAGGGTGGGCCAGAGCATGTCCTCCTCTAGTCACACAAGACTGGCCGGTGCCCAGGGACTGTGCACTGGTAGGGAAGGGACGGGTCCCTCACTGGCCCTTGCTCCATGTTATAACCTCGTCCTCTGGTCAAGTCCTGTACCCTGGCATCAGAGGCCAGTCCCACCAGAGGGAGCGAGCAGGGACATGTCCAGTGAGTGCTCCCTCCCACCATGCACCAGTGTTCCCAGTGAGATGACCCCACCAGGAACCCTCTGCTTGGAGCCATGGTCACCACACGTCACTCACACCTGACCTGGGTGTTGAGGGTCTCGGCCAGCTCCCGGGTCCTCTGGCAGAGGAGGAGCCTGCGCCGCAGCCCGTGGGCCTGCTCCTGCAGGGCCGCCGCCTCTCTGCACACGAGTACCAAGTTCTTCTCCGCCTCCTCCTCAAACTCAGCAAGACTGTTCTCCATCTGTTCAGTGGAAACAGGAGCTCAGGCCGGGGACCCCTGCTGCAGTTTATGGAGGTCCCCGAGCACACGTCACGTGGGAACAGGTTGTCACCTTCAGCGTCAGCAGGCTCAGCAGTAACGTCTGGGATTCCATCATCTCCATCACTTCTGTTGGGTCCTTGAAAAAAAGACCAAGACCCTTTTGAATCCCAAGAAATTAAACCCAGCTCGCTTCCCTCGAGCAGAACCCAAACCTACAAGCACTTTCTTTTTTTATTTTTATAAAGTATTTTGTTTTAATTGTAGGTGGTCATAATACCTTTCTTTTATTTTTATGTGGTGCTGAGGATGGAACCTAGGGCCCTGCCCGTGCTAGGTGAGTGCTCTACTGCTGAGCCACAACCTCAGCTCCGCTACAGGCACTTTCTCCATTAAAAAAAAGTTTTCTTTTGTGGGTTTGGGGACGGAACCTAGGGCCCCTCATGTGCTCAACAAGTAATCTGCCACTGAGCCATGTCCCCAGACTTTTTATTTTTATTTTGAGGCAGGGTCTTACTAAATTGCTGAGGCCGGTTTGAATCTGAGACCTTCTTGCTTCGGCCTCTGGGGGGGCTGGGCTTACAGGTGTGCACCATTTATTTAGTCTCTGGGAGCTGTGCTCTAGGAGAAGGAAGAGAGGGCTGGTGGCCTCCTGAAGCCAGGAGATGGAGAGGGAACAGCCAGGCAGTAAGGGGAGGGCCACAGACCAGGCGCTAAACCAGAACTCCTGCCCAAAATCCCATCCAGGCCCTGCAGAGACCTCGGCCCAGCCGTCCTCCCACCAGGGGACAGCGCCTGGCCTCTACCCTTGCCTAGCACTGCACTAGCGCAGAGAAGAAGCCAATATTTTTGTGTGGGGGGCAGAGCTGGGGATGGAACCCAGGGTCCTGCATGTTGGGCGAGCGCTCTACCCCTGAGCTGCACCCCCGGAGCTGCACTCTTGCTTCCAAATAACCACAAATGCAACCTCTGCGATGGACCTAAGAACGTCTGTGGTCTTGTTTCGCTCTTGCAGCCCTGGGCCTCGGGCAGCAGCTGCGGCAGGGCCGGCACTAAGTCAGAGGGCGCAACCTGCTGGCAGCTGCCCCTTCACCTTGGACACTTACTGGGCTCTTTTTCCGCGGGGCAATAAATGACGTCGACTCAGTTTTCTTTGCCACGGTCTTTTCCAGCTGTGGAATCCTCCTGACCATGCTCCTGTCTGAGACAAAGAGGGGTCTCGGAAGCTGAGCGGCACAGCTCATCCCACCACCCTCTGGCACTGAATCCACCTCCCCCGCAGCCAAGCTGAGCCACACAGCACACTGCGGAGCCGAGGTGTCCCCTGTGGTCCTGGCACTGACTGGAAGTTGTGTCCTGCTGCCCAGCATCACAGAAGACTGGACTGCACATCACGTACCCCAAGAGAAGATCCCGATTCAGTGTGTCCTGGCACCATCATGAACTTGGAAAATCCGAAACCATGGTTCAGGGGCCCTCTCTACTTGGAAGCCCACTGACCCAGCAGGGACAGAGGAGGTGAGATGAACCATTTACCATTAATGGCGGAGAGATCCAGGTCAGGCGGGGCCGTGCCATGCCCTTCCAGCAGCGTGGACTGCAGGTCTCCCTTCATGGTCCCGCTGCCATCTGTGGTCCAAACAGGAACCCCCAAGTCAGCACCAGGGGCAGCGAGACACTCAACGTCTACATCAGGGAACGTTGGCAACCTATTGTATGATACCACTCGCTTCCAAATACCCAGCTTCTGCCTAGTAGTAGGAAAGGCTGACGTACAGCGGAAATTCCCAGCCCACCTGAATACGTGTTTTAAACACAGGCCGAGATCCCTTATCTGAAATGGCTGGGACCGGAAGTGTTTAGGATTTGGGATTTTGGAACATTTGCGTATACAAAATGAGATATCTTGGGCATGGGACCCAAGTCTAAATGCAAAACTGGTTGATGTTTCCTATGCACCTTAGACACACAGGCCAAAGGTAACTTCACACAATATTTAAAAAAATAGTCTTGGGCATGAAAGAGTATCACAGTGCAGAATTTTCCCATTGTGGTGTCACACTGGTACACAAAAAGTGTCAGATTTTGGAGTTCTGCAGATCTCAGACTAGGGACTGCTCAACCTGTGATCTAGAAGAGACGTTCTTTATTACAAAAAGATGCAAAGAAGCCCTTCCACTCGGTGTGCAAGATGCTCAAGATGTGACAGTGTCATCATCGGGCCGCGTCCTGCCCTCGCCATCCTTCCCCTGCAGGTTCTGGACCGTTCATTTTCCCGGGAGTCCCTTCGTCTTTTAGCCTGGATTTAAAATGGCCAAACTGGGCTTCCCCGGGCTGAGAGCAGCGGTGCTGTCCAGCATGCAGTCACTCAGGGCTCGGGACACTGCGAGCGCCAACAGACGGTCTGAGCAACACACCGTCAGCTTGGAACTGAGCAGGAGGCCATTCAATGAGCCACGCAGCTGAGAAACCGGATGTGACATCGAGGAGAGGAGAGCCCAGTGGTGTGGGTTCAGGCTGCTGCGTCTGGGCTCATGCTGAGGCCTGACCCCAGGGGACAGCACCGAGGCGGTGGGGCTTTAGGAGGACTGATGTCTGGACTCGTCCTCATGAGAAGGGCTGACGTAAAGCAGGTCAGCGCCGTGTCCTCTCCCTCTCCTCCACCTCCCACCATGCGAGGAGCAGCATGGGGCCCTCACCTGAAGCCAGGCCATGCTCTTGGACTTCGGAACTGTGGGTCAAATCAACCTCGTTTTTAAAAAATGATAAACCACCCAGGCTCGGTTATCCTGTTACATCAACAAAAAATGGACGAGCACCATCCAGCCTGATCCCTGCTCTGGAATTTTTATAATGAATACACGTCACATCCACAATCAGAAAAACTAGAAACTGCTCCTTTTGTTTGGTGGCAGCTTCTAGGAGAGGACAGGAGAGTCCCTCACTGCTTCCAGCGCAGGAGACGAGAAAGGTCGACCCAGGGCAGTGAGGCGGCAGGAGGATGAGGCTCCCCATCCTGTATGCCCCCAGGAGTGCTGGTGGGGACACAGATGTGTACTCAGGAGCCATTGCTGCAGGAAGAGCCTCGATGGCAGAACAGCTCTTCTTTGGGGCCACACAGGAAGGAAGTGGCCTCCCTGCCTCCCCGCCACCCCTCCTCACCTCCCTGCGTGCCCCTAGCCTGTCCTTGATCAAACGCTGCCTGGCTCCTTCTTCAGTGCTTCCCAGAGAGAACCGGAGCCTCCACACTGCACGCTTCAAACAAAATCCCCAACCGTGCCCCCAACCCCGAGGCCCAGGGTGTGTCCCACCTTTGCTCTTCTGGAGCAGGGTGGCTTTCCTTCCACCTTCAGGCACCTTCCCGCTGGCTTTCAATGCATCTGCTGCAGGAGCCTGTGCCAAGAACATGTGACATTCAGAGGACGAGACAGGGCTGGAGGTGTGGCTCAGAGGTACAGCACAGGGTTTGACCCCCAGAACCACAAAAAACAAAAGAAACGAACAAAACAAAAGGACAAGACCCTTTCCCTCCTGAGAGGGAGCCCTGGAAACACCTGAACTAGTACGTACCTGCTCTTTTTTGAGGCGAAAGAGAGATTTAGGAGTTTTGAAATTTTATCTTTATATACTGGACATAAAAATTTTGTCAAAATGGGGACACTCACATGCACAGCACATGGTTTGCACATTATATCTTTGGTATGGCAGGTGACAGGGGATGGATTTTTCTGTATACTTTTCAGTATTTGCTTGTTTTCTGGTGAGAACATATTACTTGGTCTTTAAAAAAAAACAAAGTTTTTATGCAGGTATTAATCTTCAGAATTACCAAAAATAAGCATGCAATTCACCCAGTGCTGCTCTTATAATCCTAATGACAAAAAACAAAACAAAACCACAAACAAACAAACAAAACAAAAAAAAACACAACACACAACCTTCTACAGGGCTAGAGAAACCAGGTGAGGTAGTGCGTGCCCATAACCACAGTCGCTTGGAAGTCACGTCCAGGCTGGGCGACGTGGCGGCCCGTCTCCAAATGGAAAATAAAGGGCAGGGATGCAGCTCAGTGTAAAGCACTGAGGGGCTCAGTCCAGACAACAAAAGCAACAAAGAAAGAAACCCAAAACAAACAGCCTCCCCAAAAGAAATTACAGACAAACAGGCTGGAAAAGAAAAAATAAGACTCACTTCTTTTCTCGGGAGGTACCGGGGCTTGAACTCAGGGACACTCGACCACTGAGCCACCTCCCCAGCCCTATTTTGTATTTTATTTAGAGACAGGGTCTCACTGAGTTGCTTAGGATCTCCCTGTTGCTGAGGCTGGCTTTGAACTCTCGATCCTCCCGCCTCGGTCTCCTGAGCTGCTGGGATGACAGGCAGGTGCCATCGTGCCCATCCTAAGACTTATTTCTTTTTTTTTTTTTTTTTCACATAGATATTTTTTTTTTTTTTTTTTTTTTAATTTTTTAAATATCTTTTATTTTTAGTTATCGGCGGACACAACATCTTTGTTTGTATGTGGTGCTGAGGATCGAACCCGGGCCGCACGCATACCATGCGAGCGTGCTACCACTTGAGCCACATCCCCAGCCCCAAGACTTATTTCTTAAAGACATGATTCTTCACATAGAAACCCCCAAACTTCCTCAAAATCATGATCAAAACTAAGAAAGAAATGTACCAGGTGTGATGGTTCATTTTGTGTGTCCACTTGAACGGCCACGAGGTGCCAGGTTAAATATCATGGTTGAGTGTATCTTGGGTGTGGCCCCCCAACATGAATGGCCACTGCCAGCCATCCTGAGGGCCTGAGCAGGGGGAGAAGGTGAAAGGGAATTCGCTCCTCTGCTTCCTGCCCGTCTGACTGAGCTGGGACATCTCACCTCCTCCAGGCCCTGGACTAGGATTACACCACCCACACCCTTAGTCCTCAGGCCTTTCATCCCATACCAGGTGACAACACCAGATTTCCTGGTCTGGGGCTCGAAGACAGCAGCAGATCAAGGGACTTCTCAGGCTTTATCATTACATGAGAGATTTATTCATTTACTGTAATAAATCTCTATGTAATAAATAGAAATACAATGTAAATTATACACACATACATAAACATGAAATATATCTCCTGATTCTGTTTCTCTGGAGAACTCTAACACAGCAGGTTGCAGAACACAGAGTCAATGTGAAAACATGGATCCTCTCTCCAAGCAAGGAACAAGTTTGGAATCTGAAAAAGTACCATGTATCCATTCATGTTTGTGTCAAAGTGCATTCTACTGTCAAGAACAAAAACCCCATGTGTAACAGCACTAAACACCAACAAATGTTTACATACAAACCCAATAAAAATGTGTAAGATCTAAACACTGGAAAGTACAAAGCACTATTGAAAAAAGTCCGAGAAGAGCTAAGTAAATGGAGAGGTTCGCCGCGTTCACGGTCTGGAAGACTCCGGGCTATTCGGATGGCCTTCTCCCAACAGTGATTCTGACGCCATACAGTCAGAACTCCAGCCAGAGTTTTGCTGAGAAAATGAAAAACTTATTTTAAATGTTCCACAAAAAGGCAGAAAGACGAAACCATTTTGCAAAGAACAGAATGGGAGGTTTTAATCTACCTGATTTTAGTTAAGGACAAAGCTACTAAGCAGCCGCGGCAGTGGGGACTGCTGTAAGACCACAGACTAACGAAAAAATGGAGCCCAGAAATGACGCGGACACAAATGGCCACCTGGTCACTCAAGAGATAAGAGCCTCGCTTTACACAGGAGGCTGAGGCAGGAGGATCGGGAGTCCAAAGCCAGCCTCCGCAACTTAGCAAGGCGCTAAGCAACTCAGTGAGACCCTGTCTCTAAATAAAATACAGAATAGGGCTGGGGATGGGCTCAGTGGTCGAGCACCCCTGGGTTCAATGTCTAGTACTAAAAAAAAGAGGTGATAAGACAATGGGGAAAGGAAAGTTATTTCAGCAGCTGCAGCTTGAACTGGACACCCACACACTAACAATGGAACTTTGATTCCAACATGGCAGGATACTGGAAAACTAAATCAAAATGTATCAGACCTGAATGTTAAACCCAAGACCATAAACACCTGCAAGGAAACACAGGACACAACCTTTGGGTTGGGCAGGGACTTCTTAGATAAGACATAAAGCACGACCCATAAAAGCAGAAACTGAGGCTGGCCTTCATCACAGTCCAGCCCTCTCCCTCCTCAAAGGCACTCAGGAGAGCGACAGGCCGTCGCAGACTGTGAGGATGGTCTGCACCCTGCGTGAAGGGCTGATTACAGAAAGAACCTTTGCGACTCGGCAACATTTAGAAAACAGCCCAACTTTAAAAACTGGCAAAAAGTTTGAAGAGACAAGTCACCAAAGATATAAGAATGAGGGCTGGGGCTGAGGCCCAGAGCAGAGCGCTTGCCTAACACGTGTGAGGCACTGGGTTCGAACCTCAGCACCACGTATAAATAAAAAACAATACAGGCATGCTGCACCTAAACTACAGAAAAGCAAGTTAAAAAAAAAGATATAAGAATGACCAATAAGCACATGAAAATATGCCTAGTATCAACTGCTACGGAAACGCACATCAAACCACAGTGAGACACCCTCCACACCCAGCAGGACTAAGATTTAAAAGAAAACACGACACCTCTCCTATGTGCCTGGTGGGATGTAAAATGGTGCAGCTTTTGTAAAGTTAAGCACACACACCTCCAACGAGCCAGCCACCTTGCTCCTGGGAAAAATGAAAACACGTCCACCCAAACGCAGAGAGATGTTTATACAGGCTAGACGTCCCTAACCCCCAAATCAAAAATCCAAAACGAGTGCCAACATGGTGCCCAAAATGTTTCAGGTTTCAGATTTTCTGATCATAGGGGTTCAACCCATAAAGCCTCTCCAAATATTCCAAACTGTGAAAAACTCCAGAATCTGAATTACTTACGGTCTCAAATAGTTCAGATAAGGGATACTCGGCCAGTAGTGGGTTTGCTCATGATCACCAAAATGGAAAACTAGCGCCTCTGGACCAGCGAAGGTGGTCCCTCCACACAGCGGCACTGACGCAGCCCTAAGAAGGAAGTGACCACCATCGCACACGACACGGAGGGCGGCGGGTGCACCTGGGGGTCAGAAGCCGGAGGCCTAAGGCCGCCCATCACGCCCACCACTGACCCGGCCTTCTGGAAATGGCTAACTGCAGGACCAGAAAGCAAGTCTGTGGCTGCCTGGGGACAGGAGAGCGGAGGCTCCCACAGGGTGAGGTTGGGGTGGGCTGCTTTCTCTGGACGGTGGAGAAGGTTCTGAGACTGCGTTATTAAGACCTACAGAGCCTATGCCGAGCAGGGGGAGGTGACTCTGTTAATTAAACTTTGATTTTAAAAATGGGAAGAAGAAAAAAAAAAAGAATGCTCTGGAAGCTCCAGATCGACACCGCCCACAGCCACACGGGGGCGCTGTAACAAAGTTTTCAAGGCAACGTAGACTTGTGACTGTGGACTGTGGCCTTTGTTGAAAATCACTTCAAGGAGGGGAACCCCAAGTGACAAAGTTGCCTTTTTCCTCAAGCGACATCTCACATCACATTCTTAGGAACCTGCCACCCACCACCCACCCTGTACAGAGCATGGGGCAGGTGGCAGAAATGAGTATTTAACTGAATTTTGTGCATCACAAACCGAGATTTAGAAAGCAGAGGAGCAACCCAACTTGCCTTTCACCATTTCTTCGTAGGTTCCACTGAAACAGAGTGTGCAATTAGGTGATGTGCTGACTTTTCAGTAACCTCACACAAGCACGTTCATGTGTGGTTAAGCATCTCCCGTGAAGGTGTGAAGGCTTCACTGAGTGGCTACATGGTAGTTTGCTAAACTCCCCTCTAATAATGGGTAAGAGAAGCATGTCGCTCCTCCCATGGTTTTCCTCCAATACACGGCAGGTCTTTTTTAAAAAAATGCTTAGCTAGGGCTGGGGTTGGAGCTCAGTGGCAGAGCGCTTGCCTAGAATGTGTGAGGCACTGGTTTGATTCTCTGCACCACATAAAATAAATAAATAAAATCTACAACTAAAAAAAAAAAAAAAACTTTTTAAAATGCTTAGTTATAAGCCCAGGACTGCTTCAGAATCCTAAAAGTGATCCACAGTGAAAATAATGAATGGAAAATTTCAGAAATAATTTTTTTAAAAAATATTTTTTTTAGTTGGAGTCAGACACAATACCTTTATTTTAGTTATTTATTTTTATGTGGTGCTGAGGATCGAACCCAGTGCCTTGCACGAGCTAGACAAGCACTCTACCACTAAGCCAAAACCCCAGCTCTAGAAATAATTCTTAAGTTTTAAAATTTTTTCCTGTTCCAAGTAGCATGATAAAATCCCACACCATCCTGCTTGGGATGTGAATCATCTGTCCAAGTGTATCCACATAGTATACACTATCCACCTGTTAGTTACTTGTCACTTACTAACAATCTCAGTTTTCAGACTGACTGCTGCAGTATCACAGTACTTTTGTTCAAGTAACCCTTATTTTACTTAATAACAGCCCTAACATGCGTGAGTAGTGATGCAGAGAAGGTACTGGGGCAGAAAGCAGGAAAGGACAGATGACTGCTGGTATTACCTGCAAAGCACTGGTGGTCTTGAAACTAGGGGTGACTAATGTACTGGATAGCAAGGCAAGAACAATTTTGTTTCAATCAAGATCACGGTTTTACAAAAGGAAATCTTAAAGCAACTGGCCACTCACAACAAAGACTCATAATTGTGTATGAAGGGGTGGAGATCTCAGAGGCACCTAGACAAAGACCCCAAAATGCTTCCTTAAGGACCCAGGTTGAGACTGGCTCACATGACTTGACTCCAAATTCCAAGCGACTCAGAACTATAGTCAGAATGGGTTCAGACGTGGAACTGAATATTTTATTACCTTTTTACTCGTTTTTTTCTCATACTGCAAATATCGAGACTCGACCACTCTTCCACCTGTGGAGGACACACTGCTGATTTATAACGAAATCAACAAAGGACGGTGTAAACCCAACACATACCCAGTCTCCCACATGATCAGCCCTCGCAGCTCAACAACAGGAAGAAGAGGAAGTACTCCTTCTGCTCCTCTCAGATCATGTCCTGCAACGTCCTCAAGCATAAATGGGACACCAACCATATGCAAGAACATTGATTGGACACATACTGTATGCAGGTCCTTGAGCTAAGGTGGAGCCACAGAGTTCTGGAGCCAGGATCCAAGAAGTTCAAGGAGAGGACTCTGCCCAAAAGCTAAAGCAGCAAGTGCACTCAAGTGGGGGAGGGGAAGGAAGAATTAATTTTCACTGAGGGCCTCCTCCGTGTCCCATGGCTCAGTCCTGTGGATGTGTCCCTAAGAGTCCCTTCCCCTCTCTGGGTGCTACCACCCACTCACAGTACCCGGCTCACTTCCTCATACACCAAGCTCAGGACCCTCCCTGAGACACTCAGAGCCCAGGTCTTCTGCAGACATAGTAGAATCCCCTGGGGACGGCCCTGCAGCGTTCTCACTAGGTCTGTTCCTGCCACCCCGACCCAGCAGGCTCCGCTCAGCTTAGACCGCCGGGGCCCACCTTGCTCTTCTGCCCACAGCACCCACCATGGTCTCTGCATCTCATTAGGCTGCTGATGCTCCCTCCCGCCCTCTCTCCCCTCGAGCTCCCCGAGGGTAGGGATGTTTGACTGCTACACTCCATGCCAGGGGTGGAGCGGGTGCTCAGAAATACATCGAATGAATGATGCTGCACTTTTCAGAGGTGCCTTCAGAGAGCAGTGATTTCCCTTTGTACTAAAGAGACCCTGGAGGGTGACAACGCCAACATCACAAAGCCTGACAGTCTGACTGGGCAAGACTGTGACTTCAGCCACATCATCATGCGACACTGGATTCTGCCACAGGGCCTGGGGTGGTAGCTGCAATCTCCAGAGGAAAGGAGGCATGCCCACGGTTAACAGGGAGCCCGAGTCTGTCCAGGATCTGGGTAGTCACCAGGGCGCCTCCGAGGGGGCACGAGCGGTGTCTGTGAGCAGAGCTTGGAGGACTGGGACAGGTGGGTGCCAGGGGCAATCCAAAGCCATTCTCATGGTGCAGGCACCTAACTAACCATCAAGGCTAGATCCAGGTGGGATACAGAGACAAAACCAAGGCACACTGAGGCGCTGTCAGTGGACAGAGCAAGAGGCAGGGCCAAAGGACACTGCCAGTTCCAAGGAAGCAAGGCCATCCTGCATAGAGTCTTCGTAATACCTTTAGCAGTTCTGTTCAACTGGAAGGATCTAATGCTCTGGCTGTCACAGACAGTGGGGACACAAGTTTCCTGTTTCCAGAAAACTGAAACAAACCGCTTGTTGTGGACAGTGGAGGCCCGATGGGCGCAACCTTACGTCGACAGGCAGGTCTGTGGAGAGGGCCGTGGCGGAGCGCTTGCCTCGCATAGGCAGGCCCTGGGCTCCATCCCCAGAGCAACACGGAGAAAAACCACCAAGCTCTCCACACGACCCCGCCCGCAGTTGGAACTAAAATTCAGCTGAAGCTCTCTGAAGAGCTGCTGCCACGTGGCACACACTGAGGAGGTCCTTACCTCCAACTCAGGAGACCAGGTCTACTGTCCACACTGGGCACTGCCGGGGGTCAACAGGGTGGGCGCTGGAAACAGTGAGGCCAGACGCACAGGTGGGCACTGGACACACGGGCATGTTTTCACAGTGCGAACGCGGGCTGTCCACGCCCGTGTTATCAAGGGATGTATCCTGGACAAACCCCCGGGGATGCTCATGGCTAAAGCACCCCGATGCCCAAAGTGACCACTGCAGTGACCTCCCACACGTCCCAGCTGCAGTGCAGAGATAACTAGACTCAGAATCCCCTGAGTGTGACTGTGAGGAAGTGAAGCCACAGCCCCCTTTCTCCAGCCTGTTTTTTCCTCCCCCACGCAAAACACTTAATGAAACAACAAAACCACTTTTTAGATGAACAGACCCTAATGGTGCTCACCCTGTGCTCTTTTTCCTCTTGGCTTGGCACCACTAGCGGGGTTGGGACCGGCGGCGGAAGCCTTCCTGTAAGAGAGGGGAAAGGTCTTGTTCATCTCGTGGCACAAGAAGCACAGAGGAGCCGGCAAGGAGCTTGCACCAGCTGGCAGCCAGGGTTTCCTGGGGACAGCCCAGTCCCTGTGCTGCCCAAGGACAATCTTAGTGAGGCTGGGCCACCTCAACAGGAAGCGAGGCAGTCACGGTCACATGGGCCTCATGGTGGAGCCAAATTCCTGGGCTGAGTAAAGAATGACAGGAGCTTTGGAGGAGAGAGGGAATTTTTGTTAAGTGTGAAGATCTCAAATTAGCCACGGGTTTACTCATTCCTCAGATGTTTATGTGCCTACTGTATGCTCCTGAAGATACTGTGCTAAACAAAATGCAGAGTTCCTTCCTGCAGAGGGACAATCTGTACCTTCCTTATGAGGGAGGTCCAGAGCGGGTAGAAGGGTATGAAAAGCAAAGAGGGTTCATTTATGGCAGAGGACAATCTGAGACGAGGATTCAGTAGGGCCTGGAGCAGGAAAGGAAAAAGGTGGACAGGGTATGAAGTTGGGGAGGTCAGAGTAGGGGCAGGCTGGAAGAGTTCTCAGTGTGGGGCTCGGGGTCTTGGACCTGTTCCTCTAAGTCAAGGAGGGCAAGCTTTCTCTACAGGGCCGCACAGTAAACACGCGCCTCTCTGTAGGCCTCGTGGTTGAACAGTCACGGATGGCAGAATGGAATGGGCGGGATATTTCCAATAAAACTTTATTTACAGACGGAGGCATTTTATGTAATCTTCATGTGTCCCAAAATCTTCTTTTGATTATAAACAACTGTTTAAAAATGCAGAAATGATTCTTAGCTCACCAGCTATACATAAAAGGGGCGCTCTGGCTCCACCCAAGCCTGCAGAAGGTGGAGCCCTGCTGTGGGCAACAGGGAATTGGGATTGGGAGAGTTTGAAGCAGGAGCTGGACAATGTCACGGGGATGTTTCATGAAGCCCACTGGCAAGTAGCAGGAAAATGGTCTCTGAAGTTCTAGAAAGGACAGGGGCCCCTAGGCTGTTGCCCCCTCACTGTGCCCCAAGGCCAGTGTTATTAGTTGGCCTAGGGTGTAAAACACCACAAACTGGTGGCTTACACAACAGACAGAAGGTTGAGATCTGGGTGCTGGTGAGGCTGGTTTCCTCCACCGGCCTCTTGGTGCCCGGGTGGCTGCATGTGTGTGCTCACGAAGCCTCTCCTTCATGAGTGTGTGGAGAGTGTGACAGGAAGCACCCCAGTGCCTCTACCTATAAACACACTAATCCTACAGGATCTGACGACATTATAGACCACCACAACAGATGGGGTGCTACGGGCACGGTGGGAGGAGGCCAGGGATGCTGCTCAGCACCCTACAATGCCCAGGATGAGCTCCGTCAGAACTGAGACTGGGCACCACATGTCCATAGTGCCCAAGTTGAGGGCCCCTGGAGTGACAATTGGAAACACAAGACTGAACACAGAAGGAAATCTTAGAAAGTGCTACAAAACTCCTTTAAAGAAGTAAGAAAGCTGGCCTGGGGTTGTGGCTCAGTGGCAGAGCGCTTGCCTAGCATGCGTGAGGCACTGGGTTCGATCCTCAGCACCACATAAAAATAAACAAATAACATAAAGGCATTCTGTCCATCTATAACTACAAAAAAAAAAAATTTAAAAAGTAAGAAAGCCACAGTATTATTCAGCCCTAAAAATAAATGAGACTTTTTAATAAGGATGAACCTTGAAAATATTAAACTGAGTAAAAAAAACTAGATACAAAGACCACATAGGATATGATCCCCTTATATGACATGTCCAGAATTGGTAAAGCTCCAGTATTTGGGGCGGGGCAGGGAGAGTGACTGCTAATGGGGACCAGTTTCCTTTTGAAGTGATGGAGATTTTCGGAAACGCTAATCCAGGAGATGGCTTCACAGACTGTGAATGCGCTGTGGGGCGGTTCACTTCACGCTACTGCATCCCACCTCCACTTAAAACCAGAGTGAACAAAGCCTGATGCAATAGGATAGAAGGGGCCTTGGGACAGGAATCGCTGACTAATCAGCTGAGCGGGTGCAGGAGAGTCGGGGATGAGCCAGAACCAGGAACCCAAACCAGCAACACTGGAGGAATCAGAGGGGACAGAGCAGAGTCCCTCCGGGATCTAATCCAAGGCTCTGGATTATGGTCAATCTTCCAATTAAATAGGGCAAGGGGAGGTGGCGGAAACGTCCATGACTGCTCCCACTGGCCCATGTCATTTCAGTTTGTGCAGAGGACGATAAACATTAGCCAGTGAACACAGGAGATGAGCACCGCCTCAGGAATTTGCCCATTTGCCCATCGACTATTAAGTGTGCGATCTCTTTCTTGTTCCCGCTGGGGGACCCTGGGCAAGCGACCTACCCTCCCTGAGTGTCTACTATATCCTCTATAAATGGGGAGCACAGAATAAAGAGGTTGGAAGGATGAAAGGAGATGCTTTAGTGGCCGCACAGCTCACAATGAAGGACCACACTGTTCCACGGGGAGTCTAAGCTTAGCCTTCAAGGCTGAATGGCGTCGTCAGCTGCATTTCGCAGAGAAGGAAAGTGAGGCACAGAGAGGTCAAGCCACTTGCCCCAGGGTCACCACGCATCAAAGCGGAGGGCGCGGGACTCGAACTCGTGGCCCTGCCCAGTGCCGAGTTCCTGACCGTGCGCAGAGGCCGCAAGTCCCCGGGGCCTCAAGGGACCTGCACGGTTCCCACGGGTCGGATCTGGACTCGTTCCAAGGTTCCCCCTCACCAGCTCCGATGCCCGTTAGCCGGGACCTAGACCAGGCCCGTCCCTCTGACTCCACAAATCCAGACCCGCGGCGCCTCAACTCACCCGGCGCCGCGCCCCGAAGAATCCGCCATTTTCCCGCCTTCTACTCAAAGGCCAGCTCTCCAAGGCTGGGCCCGCCCCCGCGCCACGGGTTGGACCATATTGCGGAGTTGCAGGAGGGGTGGCCACGGGCCGGGACGAGCTAGCCGAGCGCGAAGCCGAAGTTCCCTGCGCGCGAACCTCCCTCTCCTCGCCTCGAACAGTCTCACCCACCACCTCTGGGAGGCGGTGGCCGCGGTCGAAGGAAGGGGCGTGGCCTCCTGGCGCCCCGCCCACAGGCGCGCTGGCGTCACGCCCCATCCCCGCCCCTCCGGAACCCGGAAGTGGGAGCGCGCGGGGGAGCGGCGGGCGCGGCGGGGCGGAGCGGCTGGAGAAGCGGCGGGCGGGCTGGCGGGTGTCCGGGCGGAGACCCGGCCCGGGACCGGCGGCGCGCGGCGGCCGAGGCCCAGGTGAGTTCCAGACGGCTGTGGGTTGGGTGCTCAAGTTCGGAGAGTGCACGGGGAGCAGCCGCTGAGAAAAGGGACGGAGTTGAAGGCTAATGAGGGACGCGACGGAGGGGTCGAGGGGGCGGGAACGAGGCTGGGGGTCGTGGAGAGGTTGCGGGGTTGGGTGGAAGCGAGACGAAGAAGGGAAAAGTAGATAGGGATGGAGCTGGTGAGGCAGCTTGTGGGCGTGTGTGGGGGGGTGAGTCTTGTGGCTTTGAGCAGCTTCTCCGAAGAGGACGTGGCTTAAGTGGTAATTGGGGGGTCGCAGGAAACGGGGCTGGGAGCGGGGGAAGACGAGGAGGCGGAGTTGAGAGGCCCAGACTGGGCGAGGGGGCAAGGCCGGTGCGAGAACAGCTGGGGTGCGGTCGCGGGGAAAGGGTACGGGAAGGTCCTGGGGGCTTCTGCTCGCGACCCAAGCGCTAAAGGGTGTCTGAGACAGCGGCGCCTGGCACCCAGTGGGCGCTCAGTAAGTGTGAGAGGTTCTGAACCACTGGTGTAGCGGGCTGGCTTTGGGGAAGGGAAAAGAAGTGGGGACTGTATGGGAAGAAGAAAGGAGAGAAGTCAGGGTAGGTCGAGGGAGGGCCTGGGGAGGAGGGAAGGGGAGAGGAGGAAAAGGGCTAGACTAGTACTGTGTAGCCGTTGGAGTGCAGCCCCCTGGAGGTTTGGCCTCCCTTCCCCTCTTGATAGATCCCCTTTCTGACTTCACACCCAGCAGCTGGGTGACCTGGAGGGGAGTCCCAGCGCCTCTGGGTCTGTCTCCCAATCTTGGAAAGTACACCACTTTCTTCTGAAGACAGGACTAGCCAGATTCTGGGGTCCCTGAGAGAGCAAACAAGGTGCCTTGGGGATGCAAAATGTGTTTCAGAAGTGAAGGTGCTTTTATACAGGGGTATAAGCACTTCCTCGGAGCTGCATCCTCCTTGGACTTAAATGGGTAAAACGACATACAGGAAATCTTTCCCCCGGAGGCTGTGAGCTCAGGGGTAGAGGCCCAGTAGCGTGCACCCTCCCTTCTTTCCTGGGTGCCCCGTAGGCCAAGGTTCTTTAAGAGAAGGTCTCTCCATGATTCTTTGGGAGCTGGTAGAGATATTTAACTTGCAGCCTGAGAGTCCCCAGGGCATTTTTCTGGTCTTGGAGTCTCCAGAATCAAGGTGTCTAGAAGCAGCTGGAGGTGACCTGAGCAACTGGAAAGTTGTGTCCTGGGTCTGTCTCTGTCTGCTCTGGCAAGTGCCTCCAGCTTTGTCGTTCTGATGGGCATTATCTGTGATCTAACAGAAGAGGGGCCAGGTTTACAGCTTATTTAAGAGATGCATCTGGATAGTTTGAATACAAAGAAAGCCTTAGATAACCTATTCTAGAATGTTCTGGCCTTTAGGGGAAAAGGCTTTCAGCCTTGCTTGCTCCAGGATGCACAGTTATAGCCCACAGCCTTGCCTCCTGGGGACATTGACTGTAGTTTTCTCTGGCTAAGACACCCCAGTGAACAGGGCTGATTCTTCCCATCTCATGGCCGTACCTTTGCCTTCTCCCTGCACCAGGAGCCTGGCCCAGTGGGGTCTCATGGAGGAAGCACTGTTATGGTCTGGTCTCAGGCAAGTCTCTTTCCCTGTTTCTTCACCTGCAAAATGAATGGATGGGCTTCCATCAGCATTTTTCAAAACCCAGCCCCTGTTATTAACTGTGGTGTCTCCTGAACACACCCTCCCTCAGATTTTATGCAGCCTCCATCTCTCAAATTCCCAAGACAATGATTTTACTTTTGTTCAGCTTCCTACTCTGCTCTTTTATGTTCACAAATGATTATTAATTGCTTTTTTCATCTTTTTTTTATTGTTTGTGTATGCAGTGTTGGGGTTCAAACATAGGGCCTCATGTATGCTAGATGAGCACTCTACCACTGAGCTACACCCCCAGCCCTTGTCTTCCAAGTAGAAAATCAGTGTGTTTTTGCACAGAGCACCCATTCCCCAAGGTTTGGACCTAACCATCCAGTTGGAAATCCCTGGGAAAGACCCTCCCTCAAGTTCAACTTGGTGACTATAAATCAGGTGGGGACTTGGGAATCTCCCCGTATGTCTGTAGGATCTGTTTTCTTTCCCCAGTAGGGACTCATTAACTTGGTGGTTCCCTTTGCTCATCTCTCCCAGGTTGTGTGTGTTGGGTCCAGGATTCAGTTAAGCAAGAGTTGGTTGTGCCAGGTACTTGACTGACACCCAAGGACAGCAATGAACCCTCATTGGCTGGAGGAGGGACATTTAGTGTCTCCCACATAGAAAGAGTGGAGTTCAGATCAGGTGGTCTGTGCAGTGACAGAAGGGTCACAATCTATCCTGGGTCAGGATCAGGGATGGCCAACATAAGCTTTGGGAGAAGGGGGATTCCAACAAGTTTCCTCAGAAGAGGTGACTGGCCTCGTGCCAAACTTGGAAAGGCGTCAGGGTGTTAACCAAGCAAGGAGGACAGACTTGCATAGGCAGCTCCTTTGAAGCCCTGCCCTTTTTGAGCACCTGCTATAATAGATGCTTTTATTGGTCCCCGTTCTCTTGTTCTACCAACCACCAGCAAAAGGGTTCATTGGTCCTGTTTTCCTAAAATAGGCCCAGGTCGGTGATGACTTCAGAGATAGCTCTCTGAGCTTTTTTTCTAGAACATAAAGGATCATAAGTAACCTTAAATTGCTGCAGACCAAATCTCTAGGGCAGAATTTCTCAACCGTGCCATCGTTGACCTTTGGGGCTGGATTGTTCTTTGCTGTAGGGACCGCCTGGTGTGCTATGGGACGGTGAGCACTGCATCCCTGGCCTCCACTTTTTAGATGCCAATAGCATTTGCTTCTCCACAAGTTGTGACAACCCCATATCTCTCCAGATGTGTTCCCGTGTTCCCTGGAGAAACGCAAAATAGCCCCGGGGGAGAACTGATGCTATGTACTAAAATCTGGTTTCCGTCCAGGGCCCACTATGGCCTCAGGGGTCTTTGGTGTTCCACTCTCACCAGGTTGCTTCCTGGGGTGGCAGTGGGAGAAGACGCCCGCCCCTGAATTCTGCTGTCCAGTCAATTCTTTATCTGGAGAGTGGTTCTGACAAAAAGGAGGAACTGTCAGGAACAGACGACAGGGGAGATAGGGGAGCACCCCCAGAATGGACAGCTGAGGAGGAACTGGCAGGGACAGTGGGGGCCATTGTCTTGCTCTTCTTTGTATCACCACTGACCTGGATTTCTGGAGGCACCATCCTCATCTGGGAACGAACAGTGACTTTTCTTCTGAGATTAGAGATACTAGATTCTCTTCTCAAAAGCTACTTTGCAAGTTGCCCCGGATAAGCACGCCTTTTGTGAGCCGCCCTGTCTCCTCCCGTGTGCCTCCAGATGCCCATCCGTTCCCAAGCACACACTGTTTAGTTTTTGTTCTTGTTGCATGCATCCCTCACTGTCCCAACCACTGTGTCCCCCCCCTGCAACCCCCCAGCCACTGACCGTGACATTGCTGCTTCACCTCCGAGAGTTGGGGGAGACAGCTGACTCTGGTGTCATTCTGATGCTCCCTTCTGGGTGCTGCCCCGCGCCCTACCCATCAGCCCTTTGTGCATCCAGCATCCCCAGCCCAACTGTGCCAGGCAGCCCCTGCTCGGCCCGCCATTCAGCCAGCCCAGGCGTGGCCTCCCTGCAGAGCAAGACAGGCCCTTCTCTTCTGCCCTCCTCATCGTCCGGCGTGGCAGAACAAAGAGCCCTGTCTCTGCACCAGCCCACCACCACTGGGGGCGGCTCAGAGGAGCCCCGTTCCTTCTCAGGATTCCTTTTGGCTGGGAAAGAGCCTCTGAGATTAGGCATGTTTAAAAAATGCAGCCGATGAGTTTGGGTTCTACTCATTTCCTAGTCAAGACTTTCTGAGCCCAAGCCCAGTGATAAATAAAGTAGTGATTCAGGGGTTCGGCCTGTGGGTTTGTCGGGGTGATGAATAAGCTCTCCTTGTCTGACTCATTTGTGTGGATCCCAGCTCTGCCCAAGTTCACGGGCTCGCGTGTGTACGAGAGAGGGAGCCTGGCCGTGGGTACTTCACTGCAGTGGCTGCTGGGTATGGCTTTGCCACGGCTGCCCTAACAAAGCGCCACAGACGGTGGCTTTAACAAAAACTTATTGTCTCATGGTCCTGAAGGCCACATGTCCGAGACCAAGGCGCTGGCAGGTTTGGTTGCTTCTGAGGACTGAGGAGTCTATCCCAGGCCCCTTCCGTTGATGTCTCCCCATTCCATGTCGTCTTCCTCCCGTGCTTGTCTCCGGCCCAGTTTCCGAGGGACCCCAGTTATGTGGATGTAGGTCCACTGTAGTCCTCACTGTAAAGACCATAATTCCAAATAGAGTCACCTCTAAAGGACTAGGATCAGGATTTAAGCAAATGAATATTTGGGGGAAACACGTTCTATGATCCCGGGTAAGGGACAAGCTTCATTTTTAGGTAGTAGAAGAATGTGGGGGGAGAGTCATAGCAGATAGGGTGCATTCATCCTGTCTTGTCACTCATTTAAACAAACCTGTTTAGGGGTGGGCAGGTTGGTTGGCCACGTCAACTTTGGAAGCTCCCTGTTAGGGAATTTTCCAGATCTTATAGTCATACATTGGAGGGTGACGAAGAGGCAGGGACCCTGCCCAGGGAGGAGTGAATCTCGAGGGATTTTTGCAAGGGGTCATTTTAGGGCTGACCTTACAGGCTACATGTGCCTTGCAGGTGATCCAGATGACACTGACAAATGTGGCATGGGGTGGGGGGCCTCTGTTCTCAGTATTGCCAGGGTCACAGGGAGGGGCTTCCAAAAGCAACTCCGTTGATGGGCTAAAATGGCCTCGAGATCAACTGCTGTCCCACATGACTGGACAAAAGAGGCTTCTGGAAGGTCTTCAAATCCTTCAGCAAAGGGAAGTGTTGAATTGGGAAGCAGACTCGGAGCTGGCCTGCAGGGGAGGGG